GCACATGGTATACAAATGGGTGAGTATTATAATACTCAATGAGTGGTGCAGCTAAAAAAAATCATATATTTATTGAACACAAACATGAAATATTTGTACTATCTGTGCATCTAGATGCTCTAGCAAAAATCTCCGAACATAGGGCATATCATTGTCCCTAACATCTCTAATGTGAGGGCATATCATGATCCTCAATGCTGCCAACAATCATCACACATATCATTAAGCTTACCCTCGAAGCCGATCAAAGTTATTTAAATCATTCTCCACTACACACTTTAGTTACCAAAGTATCATATCATAATCATATCACATTTATCTAAGCCTTTCCATGGTTGTCTCGCATCGTATACAAATCAAATTAACAAGTTGTCATCCCTTAGACATAGTCACATCACGCTTAGTGGCCAACCAGTGAAGAATCAGATCATGCTTAGGGCAAAGTTACTGTTGGAGAAATAGGTCATGCACATGCCGAAGCAATGGTTGGAGAACAGATCACTCACAATGCTGGAGCAGTTGACAATGGACAGATCATCGACTAGAGAAATCTCTAAAGTCGGCATCACTAAGAGTAATCTCAACGGATGGTATCAACGTACTATAGGCGAGAATCATAGGCGAGATTAGTGCCATTGTCCCTACTTACCATCATCCTTGCAAGCACACATATAGTCATAGGGGGATAAAAATCCATTTAACCACAAATTAAATCAACATCTAAAATTTTTCCCTTAGACAAAAACACAAATCCACAAATAAGGCCATTATGTCTTTATCATTCACAATTTCCTTATCAAACCTCAAATCATATTTATTGAGCTTCAATTGTCTTTAAGCTCGGTTAGGGAATGAAAGCCTCTAAGACACCCAGGCATCATTCAATCAAATCGTCTCAACATATCATTCACCTAGGGTAATATACTCCTAAGGGTTCATCATAGCCTCTAGACATCTTAGTCTAGGCACATACGGAATAGGCCACCCATGTGGCTCACATCACAGCACACAATTACACATAGTTCACATATATAACATCTACTCATATATTGTTCCTTAGCTTAGGTTCATTTGTCTAGGCATACATATTTCATTCTAATATCATCATAGCGCATCTATTGTGCGTCATGCATTACATGCATTTTATTTAAACCCACTCACAACGACAAATTAGAGGCACTCCCAGCCAAGCTTCGATCCTTAGCCTCAAATCATCATCCAGCTTGCCAATGAGTTGACTTAACTCTATTTTTCCCTTAAAACACGTTAGAACATTGAAATGTTCATTATTCCTAGCTTTTGAAAAATGCTAGCTTTTGCACAATTAACCAAATTTTAGTAATCCAACTATTTAAGCTCAAATCCTTTATTAACAAGCTAATACCTTGGAGATCAGACTGCATGAATCTTATGTCCCAAAGTCCTCAATCCAAGCTAAAGGTGAAAATTACCAAATATGAAGAAAAGTCAAATTCGAAGTTATTAACTAATTAAATTAAAAAATAATTAGTAAAAATGTTAAATCTTACCTTGAGGATGGTTTCCCAAGCTCCAAATAGCTTTAAATTACTTCAAAAATTCATTTTGAGCCTTAGGATTTTGAGTTTCTAGAGAGAGAAAGGGATAAAAGAGCTGAGAAAAAAGGTTGGTGAAATAGCTCGAAATCTCTTGTTATTTTTGCCTTTCCTCTCTGATGATACATTTTGGCAATGTATTGATGCATCTGCCCTAATTTCGAATGAATGTATCTATACATTGGGGGCAATGTATCGATACATTTCAAGTAGAATGCTCTCTGCCCAACGTGTATCGATACACATGAGAAATGTATCGATCTTTTTCCCCTTAGGTGCTCTCTACTTTAAATGTATCAATACATTTGGATAATTTATTGATACATACTAATCTTTGGCCAAATGTATCGATACATTCTTAAATGTATCGATAGAATATTCTTCTTGAGCCTTTATTATTCATCCTACCATGAATGTATCAATTTTCACCCGTGTAAGCAGTTCTAAGCTTCCTAATGACTCCAAAAATCCAAATTTAACACTCCAATATTATTCTTGATTGGTATTACACTTCAAATCATTCATTTAACTCAATCACTTTCACATAAATTTATAAACAAAACGTTAAACTGAGATCAAAACCTCAAATTATGGGCTATCGCATATTTCTTCAATGTTTTGCCTAAATGTCAATATATACACTGTTAAACACTAGGCATACATATCATATCACCAAAGTCCTCAAGACTCCATATATCTCATAAATCATTCTTAGTTTACATAAAAAATTGGGGGTGTTACATTCTCCCTTCCTTATAAGAATTCGTCCTCAAATTACTAATCATGTACCTCAAGGTAAATTACATATATCAAACTTCAAACAAGTAGGGGTAGTTCTCTCATATTTCCTCCTCGAGTTCCCATGTGGCTTCCTTAACTGAATGGATACGCCACCATACTTTCATCGTAGCAATGTCCTTAGAGCAAAGCAATCTTAATTGGTGATCTAATATGGCTACAAGTTACTCATAGCTAAGCCCATCTTGCAACTGGACTTGGATTCGGGATATACTTCCTAAGCATGGACACATGAAAAATCAGATGAACATTAAACAACTTGGGCGGTATACTCCTCAAAATGTTTGATGTACCTAAGGCTCAATTTCTTTTCCTTTTCAAATCTTTTAACCCCTTTGGTTGGCGAAACCTTTAAAAACACATAGTCACCAACTTCAAACTCTAAAGGCTTTCACCTATTATCAGCATCAGATTTTTGGTGACTTTGAACTGTTAATATTCTTCCTCGTATCACCTGGATGCATCGCTCTGCTTCTAGGGCCATTTTCTACCCTAAGAGCTTTCGTTCCCCAACTTCAAACCAACCAAAAGGTTACCTACATCTATATCCATACAAAGCCTCATATGGAGCCATACCAATTGTGGCTTGATAACTATTATTATAAGTGAACTCAACCAAAGGCAAATAATAGTTCCAAGAGACTCTAAAGTCAAGTATAATCATTCTCAACATATCCTCGAGCGTATAAATGGTGCACTCAAATTAGCCATCCATCTATGGGTAGAAGGCCATACTAAAATCCAATCTTATGCATATGGTCTCTTATAATCTTGTCCAAAATCAGCTCATGAACTGCGGTCCCCGATTGGACATTATCATTACCTGAACCACATGTAATTTTACAATACCATTAATATAAATTGGGGCATACCGAGTTGCTCCATACTTAATTTAGATCGAAAAAAGTGAGCTAACTTGTTAGATCAATTATCACCCAAATGGCATCATAGCCACTTCTTGTTCATAGCAAACTCATCACAAAGTCCATTGCTATGTGTTCCTATTTCCATTTGGGTATCGGTAATGGTTGTAGTAGTCCCAATGGCTTTTGATGTTTAGCTTTCACTTACTAGCAAGTCAAACACTTAGAGACATACTCAAGAACATCTCTCTTTAATCTTGACAACCAATACATAGATTTTAAGTCATAATACATCTTGGTAGCTCCAGGGTATATTGAATGGGCTGCCATATGCACCTATTCCAAAATCTCATTCCTCAAATTATCCATAATCGACACGTAGACAAGCGGTCTATATCTCATCAAACCATCTATGCCATACACAAAGTCTTGAGTTTTATCCTCACTCATGTCCCTAAATAATTTTATTCCCTGAATATTTTTACCAAATATTCATCTTGATTTTACGCAACTTCAATGCAATTTAATATCATTGGTTGAACTCTAAAGTGCGTCAACAAGGTATTTCAGTGGTTAATCTCCAAACTCACTCCCATATTGCTTAGATCATATAAACTTTGTACAGAGGATCGTCTTTCCATAGTTACATGTGCCAAACTCCCCATCAACTTCCTGCTTAGAGCATCTACTAGCACATTCACCATTTTAGGATGGCATGTATGGTACAATCATAATCTTTCAATAACTCTAACCATCTACGCAACCTTAAATTCAATTTTCTTTGCTGAAATACATACTTCAGGCTCTCATAACCCGTATATATTTCGTAGGTCTCTCCATACAAATAATGTCTCCAAATCTTTAAGGCAAATACGATCACTATTATCTCTAGATCATGCGTAGGGTAATTCTGCTCATGCCTCTTTAATTGTCGTGAGGTATATGCTATGACTTTCCCATGTTGCAACAATATGTAACTTAATCTAACCCATGATGTGTCGCAATACACTGTGTAGCTTCCAGATCCACACGACAAGCTTAACAAAAGTGTAGAAGTAAGGTAGGCTTTAATTATATGAAAACTGGTCTCACAAGCATCAGACCAATTAAACTTGACTCTTTTCTAAGTCAGTCTTGTCAAAAGGGATGCAATCTTAGAAAAATCTTACACAAACCATGTGTAATACCCGACTAAGCCTAAAAAACTTCTAACTTCAGTCACAAACATCGGCCTTGGCCAATTCTCCACAGCTTCCACCTTACTAGGATCCATTTGCACCCCTTGTTCAAACACAACGTGTCTCAAGAAACTAACTTTACTTAGCCAAAACTCACATTTCAAAAACTTAGCATATAACTTATGCTACTTTAGTGTCGGTAGCATGATTCTTAGATGTTGTGCATGTTCTTTCGTGCTCTTAGAGTACATTAATATGTTTTTTATGAATACGACCACAAATTTATCCAAATACACTCGAAATATTATTAAATCCATAAACATTGCAAGTGCATTAATGAGTCACTGATGTCCATAATGTGTGTGAAATGTTGTCTTAGATACCTCACATTCTCTTATTCTCAATAGGTGATATCCCGAGTGTAAGTCAATCTTAGACAAGCGCACGACACCTTCTAACTGATCAAACAAATGATTAATCCTAGGGAGTGGATAATTTCTTTATTGTGACGTTATTCAATTGTCGATATATGTACATAGTTGAAAGCTACTACAATTCTTCTTTTCCATGAATAGCACTAAAGCTTCCTAAGCTGAGACATTAGGATAAATAAAACCCTTATCCAATAAGTCCTCAAGTTGCCTCTTAAGCTCTCTTAACTTAACTTGTGCCATTTGATAAAGAGGTATGAAAATTGGCTGCGTACCCAGAATTAAATCTATACAAAATTCAATCTCTCTCTTGGAAGGCAATTCAAGCAATTCATCAAAAAATACATCCAGATACTCACCCACTACTGATACGGCTTCCACACTCTTTTCTCCCATTGAATCATCTCTTGCCATCACTAGGTACCTTTGGCCTTTTTGCCTTGGCATCGGTCTGATAGCTACATCCGACACAACTTCCACAGACATTGGGCTACCATGCTCATATATCACAAATGAGGATTCCCATAGAAATTTAAACTTCACCAATTTGCTGTAACAATCTACCTTGGCAAAACAGAACGTTAACCAGTCCATGCCTAAAATCACATCAAAATCCAAAGTTAACAAAAACACCAAATCTACTAACGTATCCTTGTCCCTTATGTAGATGACACAAGACTTATATACATACTCTGCCACAAAGTTCTCTTCCAAGGGAGTGGTCACAATCAAAGGTTCTTTCATGTTTTTACAAAATTGGTTTAATTTTGGCACAAATTACAAAGACATAAAAAAATGGGTCGATTTGGGGTCAAATAGAACTAATGCTCCGGTACCACATATAGAAGTGTACCTATGGCCACTTCATTGAAAGTTTGAACATCTTGCGGTGTCAAAGCAAATACACATGTTTGACCTCCACTTTCATTACCTAATTGTGTTGATCTATCACGAGATGATGGGGCCACACCCATGCTTTTGTCACCTTTGCAATTCCTCCCAGTTTATGCCATTCTAGGTGGGGTAGTCTCCACTTGTGTCACATAACTATGGTCACCCTTAACTAACTGCTTATGCATTAGGCAATCTCTTATTAAATGTTTGATTTGACCACATCTGAAACACAATCCCACTGCCCTATGGTACAGTCCACCATGTGCCTTACCAGAATAATTACATAAAACAACCTTTTGTCTAGGCCCAGATTAGATGCTCTACTAGAATGTTGTAGTCTAGATGGTGGGCTAAATGAATCACTGTTTCCTTATGGCTTGTGGATAGGAGTAGTCCCTTTACAACTTTGATGGCGTATAAATGTGGGACTCTTACTTAGGCTACAATCTTTTCAACCCTGATGGCTTTGTCTTTGAGCTTTTCGACCATTATCTCCTTCCATATATGGCATCCACCATTGCTACATATAAGACAAACCTCTAAGTGGCTAAAACTCTAAACAACAACTCAATTAATCCCTAAATGAATCTCTTGATCCTTTCTATTTAGTTAGAACTAAATGGGGAGCATATCTTGATAGTTAAGTGAAACAGACATCATACTCTATCACTGTCATATCTAAAGTCTATCTCAAAGTCTGAAACTCTTACACCTTTGCATCTTTCACACTTTTAAGTAAGAAGCGATCCAAAAAAGCTTAGACAAATTCCTCCCAAGTTATCGGAGATGACCCTGGTGGCTTACTTCTCTTAAGTGTGATAAACTAGATTTTGGCCACATCTTTTAGTCTAAAACCAACCAATTCCACTAACTGATGTGTGGAAAATCCCAAAGCTGAACAAATGCATTCCATGTCTTCCAAAAATCTTATAAATATCCCTCTGCATTTGATCTAGTAAATGATTAGGGCTTTAACTTCATAAAATCTGCCAAAGTAACCTTAATATCCTTTCTCTAGTGTTCTCACTAAGGCACATATTTCAGATTTTGTGAATTAGAATCAACCCATTTTTTAGATAATTCCTCACATCTATTACGGAACTTAGGAAATTCATGAGCCAAACTTTGCAACCCTATTGCCAAATCCTCTATGGTGACACCTCCTCTTGTAGAGTAGTCACCCCCGATTCCCACATTCCACTCATTAGTATACATATGGCTTGGTTCCACATTTCAAGTGCGTCTTGTCACCCTATTCTGACCATGGCTTCTTGACGTGGACACTCGTGGTGGTTCCATAGGCTTATTCGGGTTATCTTGCTCTCCGTTGGCCTTGAAGGTAACTCTTATCATAGGTGTCATCCTATACCAAGACAAAACAAAACCATGTTCATAATCAAAATTCCAAAATCCAAAAGGTAGGCTTACCAAAACTTTGGTAATTCATGCAGCCTCCTATTCATAATTAGTGCTGCAATCACCAACTATGAACAAAACTCTACACTAATCCCCAACACTTCACTAACAGACATAATTTTACCTATGACTCTATCCCCTAGACACTCTGATACCAACTTTGTCATGACCTGAACCTGAAGGTCATGACCGATGAACGAGACTAGTAAGCAAGCCTACTAGACCCGAGCAAGCCTCAGAGTTCATATTCAAACATACATAGGCCAAGGGATTCAATCATCAAATATTCATAATAAATTCAAAGAAAAACATACCTGGCTTAATTTCCATGCAAATATTAACAAGGTCATGCATTAGCCATCTAAACAGGTTCATAGATATTAACCCTTAGTACACAATAAAACATGACACTCAATGCCTACCCACATTATCCACAGCAGAAGCCTTTAACTGACTTAGTGGAGTGACCAAAAGAGAGAACTTAGCAGGTGCCAAAATCAGTCTGTTATTGGATGAACTTTACGACAAAGCTCTATGGCCTATTTATCTACACATAGTATGCAAATGAGTGAGCACTGTAATACTCAGTGAGTGGTGTAGATAAATAAAATCTTATATATATTAAACACATACACGAAATATATGCACTGTTCATGTATCTAAATGCTCTAGCAAACATCTCCGAATATAAAACATATCATTGTCCCTAACATCTCCAATGTGAGGGCATATCATCATCCTCAATGCCACCAATAATCATCACAAATATTGCTAGGATTACCCTTGAAGCCATTCAAAGTTATTCAAATCATTCTCCATGACACACTCTAGTTGCTAGAGTATCACATCAGAATCACATCACATTTATCTAAGCCTCTCTATGGCTATCTCACATCATATACATATCAAATCAATGAGTGGTCATCCTTTGGACATAGTCAGATCAAGCTTGGTGGCCAACCGGCAGAGAATCAAATCACTCTCAAGGCAAAGTCGTTGGTAGAGAAATAGATCATGCAAGTGCCGAAGCAACTGATGGAGAATATATCACTCACAGTGCCTGAGCAGTTAATAGAAAATAGATGATTGACTGGAGAAATCTCTCGTCGTCAGTATCTCTTGGAGTAATCTCAATGGATGGCATTAAAGTAGTGCAAATGGGAATCACAAGCGAGATTAGTGCCATCGTCCCTGTTTACCACCATCCTTGCAAGTACACACAGTCACAAGGGGACAAAAATCCACTTAGCCATAAATCAAATCAACATCTAGAATTCATCCCTCGGATGGAAACACAAATCCACAAATAAGACCATTATGCCTTTATCATTCACAATTTTGTTATCAAACGTCAATTCATATTTATCGAGGTTCAATTGTTTTTAAGCGTGGTTAGGTTGTAAAAGACTCTAAGTCTCCAAGGCATCATTCAATTAAATCATTTCAGCATATCATTCACCTAAGATAATCTACTCTTAGGTGTTCATTACAGCATATAGACGTCTTAGTCTAGGCACACACAGCATAGGCCGCCCATGTGGCTCACATCATAGCACATAATCACACACAGTTCACATATATACATATACACATATATTGTTCTCTAGCCTAGGTTCATTCGTCTAGGCGCACATATTTCATTCTAACAAATATACACATATATTTATCGTGCGTCATGCATTAAATGTATTTTATTTAAACTCACTCACAATGATAAATTGGAGGCATTTCCAACCAAGCTTAGATCCTTAGCCTTTAATCGTCGTCTATCTTGCCAATGAGTTAAGTTTGTTTCCCCCTTCAAACACGTCAAAACATCGAAATGCTAATTATTCATGACTTTTGAAAAATGCCAACTTTTGCATAATTAACCAAATCTTAGCAATCCATGTATTTAAGCTCAAATCCTTCATTATTGAGCTAAACCATACCTTGGAGGTCAGATTGCATGCATCTTAGCTCCCAAATTCCTCAATTCAAGCCAAAAGGGAAAATTACCAAATCTGGAGAAAAGTCCAATTTAAAATTATTAACATATTAAATTGAAAAATAATTAGTAAAAAAATTAAATCTTACCTCTAAGATGGTTTCTCAAGTTCTAACTAGCTTTAAATCACTTCAAAAATCTATTTAGGGCCTTTGGGTTTTGCGTTTTCAGAGAGAGAAAAGAAGATAAAAAGCTTAGAGAAAGGGTTGGGCAAAATGACCTTAAATCCCTTTTTACTTTTGCCTTTCATCTATGATGTATTGATACATTTTGGCAATGTATCGATATATGTACCCTAATTTTGAATGAATGTATTGATACAGTGGGGCAATGTATCGATACATTTTAGGCTGAATGCTCCCTACCCAACATGTATTAATAAATGTGAGAAATGTATCAATACTTTTTCCTTTGGCTACTCTTGCTACAAATGTATCGATACATTTGGATAATGTGTCAATACACGTTCATCTTTGACTAAATCTATCGATACATTCTTAAATGTATTGATAGAACCTAGGGCCTTTGCTGTTCATCCTGCCATGATTGCATCAATATATTATGGTTTGTATAGATATTTTCACCCTTGTAGGCTATTTTAAGTTTCCCCAAAACTCTAAAAATCCTAATTTAACACTCTAATATAATTCCTAGTTGATATTACACCTTAAATTATTCACTTAGCTCAATACCACACACATAAATTCATAAACATAACATCAAACTTAGATTGAAACTTTGAATTATGGGATTATTACATATTTCCTCAAAGTTTTGCCTAAGTGCCAATATGTACACTCTTAAACATTAGGCATACATGTAACAACTTCTTCCCCTGATTGTTACAGGCATTCGGGACTTGCGAGTAAACTCGTCAAATCCCGAACAAGCCTTAATTGAGATTTTGGACACTTTAAAATCAACTTGCAATATTAATGCTATCGTTTACTTAAACCAAATCAACACAATATTTAAAACGTATCATCTAAATACCAATAACCAAGTTTTATAACTCTAAAGTAATTTTCAATAACACAAGTGATAGTTATTACACAACCTCAAATTTTAGCAAATATAATTTTGATAGACCATTCGACACAACACGACCTCTATGCAGTGGAGCGACTAGGAGTGGAAGTCTAAGACATGCCATTACCTATGTTGCAGCAAGTCTTGATGTGCTAAGCAATGCACCTGAGCTAATTATTTATCTACAAAAGGGAAATAAGGGGGTAAGTCTCACAGACTTAGTGATCATCGGCTTTGTGAGTATGGCGTAGATGGAAAACAAGTTAGAGGCAGAAGATTTGAATATCAAAAACATTAGAACATATAAACCATTTAAAACTAAATGGGACATTTGTGCCTTATGTATGAAACCAAGGATTTTTATGCAAGAAGTCATTTAACCATCATTGTCTCAAAACCAAAGTGAGTGAAAGATTTCTATTGTCAAAATTATTTAACATATTTACTAAAATCAAATAAGTATAATCACGCACACTCCTATGAAATCAAATATTGTCAAAGCTTTTACACAAGCTCATAAATCATCCCATCACCAAGGTATTAAACATAATGTCATTAATTCATGATCAATATAAAAGGCACTGAAAGCTTTTAATCAAATAGATGAGCTATGAAAAACTAGTATTTCTCACCATGCGAAAGAAATCA